CAAAACCCTACAAATGGAAGCAAATAGAACCCTACAACAGTTGATGGAGCGCCTGAGTGTGCTCGATCACAAGCCAATGCTTCGTCATCTCGAGAATTTGAATAATACCATAACGAACAATTTCTTAACCAAAGAGGAAATATCTTCAAAGTGTTCTGCTTTGATGGAGGACATGAATGAAAGTATCAGTAATCATCTTTCATCGTTTCAGGCAGGTAATTACAATATGGTATTGTTCGTATATCTGCTTAACGTAACGTACTGTGGTGATGATTTACATTTAGTCTTAAAAAAATGAAATATAACATCTGACACCTTAATACTGTCATATCTTCGGTTCAACGGTTTTGTACTTGACTTTGTCCCAAGGTTCGGCCTAGCTTGAATAACACGTTTTAATGTATTCTTTAGTTACACGGTTTAGGATATACACATGTATATGACGCATGCGAATTATGAGATTTGTTGAATTATTGCAGTTAGTGATCCACACGTGTGAATCTTTACATTTAATCCGAATAATTCTGAGTTTCCTCATTGACCACCTAAGTTTTGGCACTTAAGAAAAGTAACCTTTCTAAAGAGTTCTTGAAGGATAAACAACTGTATAGCGCAGCTTATTTCAGCATCTACCTGCTCAAATACAATCAATAATAAATATGTATTGAAATGTAAAATGCAAAATTCACTTGTGTGTCAGGTATACGGAGTCTTGTTTTCATCGGAATCCTCTCACTTGTTAAAGGGGAGGACTTAGATAGACTAAGCCTGATGGCCGATCCTTTCGACGGGTTTTTGTTGAAATTGAAAATTGCTTGACATGCAGATCGCCATTTATTTCCTTTGTCTTAGGAATGCAAGCTGACTTGCAGAGGATTTCTCGAAGTCTTAATGAAGCTTCAGATTTAGTGAGGACTGGTATCCAAGAACAACGACAGCATCAACAACTTATGGAGGAAAAAATGGATGAAATATCACATGAGGAACGGCATATCGTGGTTAACCTCATAGATGATGCTCTCATTGATAGTTAGTTTCTTTTTTTTTATTTTGATGTCGATTTGAGGAAGAAAAGAATCAGTAATGAATTTATTCGTTGTAAGTACAAATACACAAAAAAATATCAGTGTAATGACATCGATTAATTAATTGTTTTGACTGTAGGTGTAATATGAACTGTAATTGGTTGGTGGTTCCCGTTTTTCTCTGTTGTGACATCACAATGGCACAAATGCATAATGACGTAATAAAAGATCGAAATAAAAATATCCCCAATTTAGATTTTTGATCGGCATGGTCAAATCCTGGAAGCTCAGTTACAGACAAAAAAGGCTGTCTAGTTTCATGAATCTTATATAAATTGAAGTTATATAAGATAATCTATGTATGTATATTTTTCTTTCGAAGAGGTTACTGGAGGAATAAAGAAGATTCCTGCCCTAATAAAGAAGAAAATTTTACCAGGTGAGTATTTTAAAGATGTTGTTTCCACACTTTTCATCTTCTTTGTATTCTTTGTCATTGTAGCATGACTATTATTTCAAAGATTTCTTAGCTTCTGCGTTTATATTTCATTCTTAACACCAAGTGAACATGCTTTTATATAATTGAATGATAATAAGCGTTTTACTTCAAGCGGTTGTTTTGTTGTCAATTCCATACATTAACAAGACAAAGATGCATCCAGATCATCCGAAAAGACAGAAGAAATGAAGGAACATGAGCTGGAGCAAATGAGCTGTAAACAACACGATCATGATCACCAGATCCAATGTAAGTTCACTTTAACTATCATAGAAATACAACCTCATGTCGAAACTGCGAATAAACGATTTTTATGTCTTAAACACTTGTACAATATTACAAGAGAGAAACAAAACGTTTTTCTCCCGTACGAAAATGGAGGAAATGCTTTAAACATAAGAGGTAACATCCATATTCACTTCAATTTATGCACTTTAAACATTATAATTAACATCCATATTCTCTTAAACTGAAGCACTTTAAACACGATAACTATCATCCATATTCACTTAAACTTAAGTGTTTTAGACATGCTAACTAGCATCCATATTCACTTAAACGTATCAATTTTTTCTCATAAATGATCATCAATGATACATTATTTTCAGCACTGGTTTAACTCTCGTTAGAAAAGATCTTCATTCATATCCAGATGTATTTATCTTTTAGATATTCATAAACGATACGTATCCTCAAGAATTAATGTCAGTTCTTAATGTCCCGCTCGCGATAATGTTCTCCCTTTATACCATAATTTTACATGTAAAATTTGGAAGATTGTAGAAAGACGCCCGAAGTCTAGGAGACCCCATATGTATATACATATACTAAAAGGATAAAGACATGCAGGGTGAACTTTAAACCAGAAATTAAGTATGATATCGGGCTTCATTTAAAACGAAATTTTGTATACTTACAGATAAATTAAAGCTTAAAAATTTCCAAAGTCTGTATTTTGCATCTGACAATTGGTTTAGAGGTATTAACGATTAAATTGAATGGACCCATAGGATTTTGAAATTGAAATTGAACTGAGTTATCAATATCTTGTGTGTCCGCCGTTTGCTGTGGTCACGGCCCTTATTCTTCTGGTCATAGAGTTCATGAAAGCGTTAATCCGTCTTATGGGGATGTTGTCCCACTCTTCAAACAGAGCTCTGGCCAACTGCTCTCGAGTAGCAGGGGGTGGCTGGCACTTCCGAACCTGTCTATCCAACTGGTCCTAAAGATGCTCGATCGGGGACAAATCAGGGCTAAATGGCGGCCAATCTAGTGGTTGAATGTTGTTGTTGGTCAAAAAGGCTTGGCAAATCCTTGCTACGTGGGGCCTAGCATTATCCTGCTGTAGGGTTAGATTATGCTGCTGTAAGAAAGGGATAACATGGGGTCGGAGGATCTCATCTCTATACTTAGCTGCTGTTAAATTGCCATCGACAACAACCAATTGTGATTTTAACCCGTGTGAGATTCCTCCCCACACCATTACTGAACCGCCCCCAAACTTATCCCTCTCTACAACGCAAGCGTCCGTAAAACGTTCGCCACGACGTCGGTAGACACGTTGACGGCCGTCAGATCGATAAAGACAGAATCGAGACTCGTCCGTGAAGAAAACTTGTCTCCACTGCCTCAGTGGAAACCGTCGTGGAGCATGTGCAGCGACCCAGGCCATCCTTGCATCAGCATCTGAATGGCCTGACCCCTCTGAACTTCTGTGAGTCGTGCCATTCTTAAAACGAATCAGATTCTCAATTAATTTTAGGGAAGCAGTTGGTCTGTATAAAGACTAACGAAGAGTGACTTAACCAACGCTGCATGAGACCAGAACAACACGGTGCACGAGATTCTTGTTTTTTCCTTCCTCCATTTACCAGAGCTGCGCACTGTACCGTGACTAAATTTTCGATACATGACAAGGTGTAATATGACCTAATTACTCAATCCACAAAGTTTTACTTTATTTGGAGAAAGTGTTTTCAAAATATCGGAATAAATATTACCCTGCGTTTCTTTATCCTTTCAGTATATATCTGGTGGGTCGGGAAGTCCCTATGGAGGCAGCCGAGAATATGGTCAAAATGTAATGATAATGATATGCAAATTCTGGCTTATCCACACAAATAGCATCCTATAGATATTTAAAAATAGAACTTGTTATACCATTTATATATATATATATATATTTTATATTTAAACATCAGCACCCTATCAAGACTGGTTAATGCCTATATTAACACGCCTTACACGTGTTATATATTCTTATAAGATTGAAACAAAAATACATAACACATTGCCATCACTGCAATCCCCTAAGTGAAACAGTCACTATGGCTCTGTTCCATCGCCGTTTCTATAGCAACACTAACTATTCAAACATAACAGTTAATAAATATCAGCGCTCAGTGTAAAGTACATGTTCTTTCCTTATCCTTATCTCAAATTTTCCTTATAGATAATCATACATACAAATAAGGTTTCTGCCAGAATATTTACACTCAAACCAGGAACAGCAGAAAGAACTGTTTACATGATTTGCTTAGTTGGCTACACAGGGACCATTACACTGCATATCAAAGTCTTGAGTCGTCATCCCTAATGGTATATGTTTTATTGTTTTCTCCATTCAGCTGATTACGAGATTGCCTTGGAAGCTCAAAATCAGTTGATGTATTCTAAAATGTTAGAATTGTCTCTCACAACTGGCAGCGACTCCACATGTAGCACGACAAAACATGACATGGATGCCGCGTACATGGAAATGATTGAACAAGGTAATCAATTACAAGTTACCAACTGAAAATGATTACTGAGATAATGGGTGGATCAAAGAGGTTGTAGTAAGGGTTTGTAAGGGCGTGTGCGAGGGTGTTTATTTCTAGTTGCATTTTAATACGAAAAGGTAAAATAGTTATTAACAGTGTAGCTTAGTGTGTCGAGCAAATATTGTGGCTATCAATTTTATCAGTCCTGAACCGTAAATAATAATAGTATGTGTGAGGAAGGTAATGTGAGTGAGTGAGTGAGTGAGTGAGTGATGGGAGGATTGGGATGAAAGAGAGATTGAGTATGCTATCTTTTCGATCACTGCCATCAAATATCCTGTTGTTTCTTATGGAGAAAGGGGTAAAATGATACTCTCTTTAGTACGCTGCCAAGGCAAGTTGTTATTAGACAGTGGCTTACCACGAGGAACAATTTTATTGAGGAGGACTTTAACTAATAGATACTCATAAATTAATTGTTCATATTAAGATTTTCATCAGTGTTGAGTATTATAAAGAATTTTGCTTTGTTTTGGATTTTATTGGTCATTAACAGAACGAAATATAAATAGTACTAATTAAATAGATGTTTTCATATTAGAAGTATATAATGTATGAACTTGAAGTGTCTTTTATACTTCTATAGCTTCCAGATTAAACCTCCCTCGCGGTGAAGGACCAGACACAGTTTTACTACTGGACACGTCTAATAACATGGAACGGGATGACAACTTCTCAAAACTGATTGATATAACAGGAGAAATCCTTCAAGGTATCTACTATTACTAAAACACAGAAAAATGGCATACCTGAAAATGAGATACAATAGAGACAACAATGCATCATACTACTTTAATTTTTACTTGTCGTGGTAAATTCAATATACATTGAGAAAATACCAACATGGCAACATAATCATAATCCAAACTCAAATTCCATAAAACTCGGGCAAAATGTGAACTAAAGAAATATTTACACGGAGACTCCCGAAAAAGTCTTCGCCATGTAAATCTTGGTAAAATCAAGTAATATCACGTTCTCAAATGAGAACAAGGTATAAAACAACAGAATTAACAAGCAAAATATTATAAATGCGAACATGCACAATATTAAGAAATTAAAAATGGTTGATTTGCATATTTATTTTATTTTCTGATAAAGTCTCCTTTACTGTTTAGGTATAATTAATGAGAGAGTTGCGGGACTCTTAGACGAAAACATTGCCTTCGTAACCTTTGGGAGTTGGACAGCAGTGCGGCAGCATCTGACAAATGACGAATCCCTCTGGATCGAAGGGCTAGGTATACGATTAAATGTGTATATATGTCGATCTATTGATTGTTTTTATTCTGATTCAAAACCAGAAATACCGTAAAGTTATTATCAGCTACAAATAAATATTAGCACATGTTAGAATTATCAGAAATTGAACAGAATTAGGAAAAATAAATAGATTAATTGACTTTGTGTTCTTGTATCATACTTCATTCATTTTAGACTTATACAGTTCTTGTAGTTGCTCTAGCCAATAGTTAAGTATAGTTCTGTAGTCAAGGACAACGGGTTGACGTGATATAATACAACACCATACGAGACCATTATATGAGAGTGTATAGACTGGTTTCTCGTTCAAAATATGTATACTAACCTCAATTTTTGTGAATGACCAGTCCATAAACTCTAATATTGCCCTCAAAACCATGGAATATTTGTTTAAACAGTGAGCTCTTCTAATTTATTTCATGTCTTTTTAACAAATTTGAGCCGCATATTTGTGAATATCTTAATATTCCCTTGTTCCTTGTCGAGTCACAGTTGATGGATTTCTCTTCAACATATACATTACCATGCTCTCTTTACAGTTCTAAAACGTATGTGTTTACAATTTTGTAAGTCCTGTGATATCGGCGATTTTAACTTAGTGAGGTAGAACGATTTTCTTTACTTATTCATTTCGATGTCCTTCTTTTTTCTTCTTGTTTGTCGTCTTTATCCTATTAATTTTGTTGACAATGTCAACAGATGCCATCAGAGACAGCGGACTGGATGGACCAGCAATTTTGTGTCAGGGACTGCGTTTGTGTAAAACTGCAATACATGGTAACCGTAAGTTTCGATTATTTCACATATTTTGTGTTAAGTTTATATATCGTATGCAAAATGCTTGTAGGAAAGTATGTGTGATACTCGGTTGACATGAACAAGTCAAGTCAGCACTCCCGTTATACAATATTATTGCACTCATTTTATTAGGAACATATTATTATGTTCGTTATACGTACGCTCTCCGTTCAGAAATAAGGTTTCCTACAATGACAACTTTTTATAGTGAGTTTGGTGATTTCAATTTCCCTATTGTAGATTTTCCGTTTCTAGAGAGCAACATCTCTTCATCCTCAGCCTATGGTGGTTTAATGTTGCAGTTGATTCAACATTCTAGGGCTTGCTGTCAATATGACATTATTCGTGAACGATGTCGGCATCTCACAGACAAACTCACAATAAATCTTTCTTTTGTTGATTGTTTGCCCTAGTTTTATTAGATTTGATATAGGAATATGATTTTGTTGACATGTTGAAATTTTCTTTTTTTGTTTTTGTCATATATTGAAATCGATCATACAATGTAATTAAAACTGTGCCGTAAAATCAAATGCATTTATTGGAAATATGTCAAACGTATACAAATGATTCCTGAGTCTCCGTTTAAATATTTCATTAGTTGATGTTTTCCCTTAGTATCATTGACTTTGAGTTTAAATTAAAATTGTGTTGACATGTCGGTATTTTATTTGTCTTCCATGTGGACATTTTTAAATTACATTTTTGTAAAATTGCAAACATGATAACGTTTAAGAAAATCCTATGGAGATTGACAACCTGTGCATATCGCCGCGGATAATACTGATAACTGATGGAAACATCTCGAGCCTGTCACATCCTTCAGATTCTTTCCAGGTATACTATGGCTTCAAGATTATTATTGTTATTTGCATTATGAAATCATTTTAGAAAACTAACGAAAGCAAAACAAACATTGTGTGTTTTGTAATTGATGTCATTGTATACATAAAACGATATAAATAATGGTTTCGTTGTTAAAACCGTAATAGCTTAATTGTGAATAAAACCATATGTGTGAAATAAAGCAAATGCTAAAAGCCTTTTTTGAATGAATTTCGACGTGTTCCGAACTTCCATAACATGAAAATATAACATTTTGCAGTCGAAGAGTCGAGAAAGCGATCGACAACAGATTTACAACCTAGTGGTAGACATGGCCAGTAAAAACTACAGCGTGTTTTGTGTACCGCTGTGTCATCGCAATTCACCTAGATACGTGAGTAAAATTTGTTATTATTTAGTTAACATAATAAAACGGGAGTTTAAAGGTTGATTTTGATGGTTCAATTCGCTACAGTTTGTCACGAAAAAAAGGATCAAGTGTTTGAATGTTGGAAGCTCATATGTGGTCAGCTATTTAATGTTTTCTACGTAATGACCCTAACAAAGGTAATGAATGAAAGGGAAATTAAGTCATTTTTTGCTGTTTATTTGCAACAAAGCGCCATTTAAGTATATTTTTTACCCTTTCCTTTTTCGCATTTTTCTTATTGTGACAGCGTTTTCTGGAGAAAATAGCTCACCTGGGATCGGGAAGCATCATTAGGCCAGACGAATTACAATTCATCGCAAGATACTATCGTAAAATTGTAAGTTGAATGTTGCTGTTTCTTGCAATCATGATATAGTCTTGCTTCTTCTTCTTTTAACTATATAACTATTTGTTTTGACTTTACAATACCATTGCTGATTTATAAAATGTCACGTATTGGAATCAACGAGATATATTTTAGCATAAAAAAGGGCGACCAACTAGGTGAAAATAATGACAAAAGTGACGTGTGACGTTTCGATGACAACAATGTCACCTGCATCAGACAAATGACCAGTGTAAAGCCTACTAACACTGGACATAGCGCAGCGCGGCCAGGGGTAGGGGGCGGTTTTGGAAGACTCCCTCGTCTATAACCAAGCGTTAAACATAATAGAGCGAAGCCAAATCGATTGCACTATGTTATTACCATCACGTCTATATTTCTTTTACCATCACAATTACATAGTTTATCACGGTAGAGTACAGTCGAAAAAGCGCGCCAGTTCCTTACAATTTTGTACACTGCATAAGTGAGTGCTTCAAACTGGTCATATTTCTGATGAAGATAACCATATAGCCATCTAAACGTTAAACGTTCTTCTGTTTGTGTTATAAGAGCTGTTATTTGAAATTATATTTTGTAGATGTATATTCGTTACTCACCCAAGTGCTACTGTTAATCTTCAAGACATATATTCAAACATTTGACATACAGATGCTGTGAAATTATAGATGTTTTGGGGGGGGATCATTTCCGTTGATTTCATGGGTAATTGGCGTCCACGAATTCATATACCGACGGAAAATAATCACATGATTTTCAGTACGATACGTAGCGGGTTTTGTGAGTACAATTTAGTACCAACTAAATCGGTTTCTTAAACCGTGGAGTTCGAGTATTCTGTTTCATTTTTTAGGTTTCGGCGTTACTGTTTGGGAGTTGGCATCTTCATGTGTCGAAAAGGTCTTTTATCGAAAAATGTCTGAAAGAATCAAAAGGCGTGACTTCATTTACAGACGATGAAGTGGTAAATATTTTGTTATATTATTTCTTTGAAACAACAGCATGTTTGGGGTAAAGAAATAGGTAATAAAATACACAAAACTTAAGTTAGAACATAATACGTCATGTTATTTCGCGAATATCAATGTTTTGGTTCAACAATAGAGATTGTTTTGGAGCTGGACATAGAATATTACACTGAATAAAAAGAAGTATGAATATTTTCCGAGCGACAAGTAATGAAAAGACTGTGTCCAATGCATTGTAGGAGGATATGATGGAGATTGTGACCAATCCCGATATTCTAGGTTATCTAAGAGCTTCTCCGAAAGATGGCAAGTATCAAGAGTCATATGAAGACTTACCTCCCTTGGGTACTCGAATTAAACAGGGTGAACACTGGCGTGAGGATGTGTTTTATGAGCACCACTGTGGTCCGGGAACTGGTACTGTAGTGGGCCAAGAAGATGGTAAGTATAATATCTTGTCAATGAAATCAAGCAATGGCAAGTTCTCAGATTAGAACAAGGTTAGCGACCACGGGACCAACTAAAATATTGTGGAACATCGGAGACTTGTTAATATATTACACAGGAAATGGTCATTCCCAGCGAAGTTATTGTTGCGACCATAAAATTTCCGATAGAGTTCATTAACACGCATCTCTTGTTCAAACAAATGTCTTTTGAATGGCAATTCATACTAAATTTATCAATCAGTCACACATACGAATTGTTTGTTTTACTGATTAAGCCTTGCGCACTCAAGTGTTCTTTTTCCTGAATTAACCAGTTCCCATCAGCCCTTATCGTATCCTTAGGGAATCACTATAGGGGTTTACTGATTAAACGGGGAAAATTATGAAATTATTCCTTTTCAGTTGTTTTTAAAAGAGAAAATTATTGTTATGTTTATCTATCTTTCACGTTCTTTCACACTCAAATTGTATGATGATGCATTTTCTTATTATTTCCAGGTAGTGTGTATGTTGAATGGGACGGTTTCGAGGATGGTATACATTATTTGTATAAATACGGTCTTAACGAAATCTACGAGGTCAGAGTTCATGATCGACCACGCACTCCTGAGGAAGGCAAGGCATTTCTAGTCGGTTGCTGTATCACTAGTAAGTGGTAAATGCATGTCATACAATGATAATGTCTCATAATCGGTCAAAGCCATTCTTAAGTGTGTTTAATATTGTTACCACTACTACCCAGTTAGATCTGAAATTATATTTTCTTAATCCTAAAGGGATAGAATGGGAAGAAGACGAACATGAAGACCCGCTAGGTTACGGACTGGTGTTTGTCTCAAGTCCGCAATTTAAGGCATTTGGTGTAAGTTGAATGTAAATATTGCTTAATAACGAACACTTGAATAAATATAGTCTGCTGTCTTTACATTTTGCACAAATTCGGATCTGACAACCTCAGCCCTTAAATGTTGAAGATGACATGATTATGTTAGAAGAGTTTTTTTAAAGCAGTATGATTATTCTTTCAATATCTAGAAAACAAATAAGAATGCAGGGATATTGTAATGACAAAGGTGATGTTGTGGATGTATTTTGGGTGAATCAATTTGATACAATAGAGCTAGAATTTAGAAGGAACAAAACGAAATCAATCGTTAATCATTCGGGATTTGATTTTGATAGGAATCGTAATGCATCAAGATTGCCTTAAAATAACAGTCGATACTAATTTATATTTTATGTTATTAATAGCAATGCACAAAAAACAATGTTAATCGAATATCATCAATCTAAAGTGAATTATTCTTGAGGTGTACAATCATTTTTAAAAGGTAAATGATAATATCACAATCATATTATCTGTTTGAGTATTCTTCGAAAAAAATGTGAACTATATTGATAAAACCTCGTAAGGTTATTTATAAAATGATAATAGTGCTAATTTGGGTGCATGAGATTGAAAATATGTGACGATGAAAAATTTATATATAGATACCAATACATCGATTTATATATATATATATATATGTACATCTCATACATCAATTAAGAAATAACTCTGTGTTACGTTAGTACACAGATCAGTTCATATGCTGAAATCATATCAGTAAAATTATTCAGTGCCATAGTGTTATCCTCTTGTTGCACTATATATATATATCTATTTCTGCTGCCAGTATTGGTTCTATCAATGTCCCCATCAAACAATTATGATTCTCTGGAAAGGCGAGGTACCTTTAAAATCGGATATCAATTTCAGTTTTGCCTCATTGCCTATTCACCATATTTACAATTAATAACAATAAATATATATAAATGTGCCTTTCATTCCGAAGTGTGTCTTATTCTCTATTCAATGAGAAATAGATTTTTTTTTAAGTCGTAAAAAGTTTGAAAGTGAAACTCGGTTACTATCTTGACCTCACATCAAACCGGAAACTTTAACAACATTAGAGTGTGAATATGTTAAAATTCTCGTCGTGATGACTTTTGTTGTAGGTTCGCTGGAAGAACGGAGATTTAAGTTACTACAAGTATGATGATTTACTTTGCTGTGTACAGGAAGAGGTTTGTAATATTGCAGAATATAAGATAATTTCTAAACACAGTCAATTACCATTTTCCTCGATATCACTAGTTTTGGATACATTAAGATATTGGATACTTGCATTCCTTTAATTTCACTCCCAGATACAGATTTATCTTAATTCGAACTCGAATTCGATCAATCTACAGCAAAATATGAACATAAGAAAGATTTACATGTAGACTCCTGAAATACACAAGGAGCATTAGGTGTTCCATGAGATCAAGCGTCTCCTACTTAATTGATGACACTGACAATACAAATCCTGATCAATTAAAGTAAGTTGTGTCACGTTTACAAATGAAAAAATGGTAAACGGCAACGAAACCACCAGGCATACTAACGAGTATTAAACAATTCCAACTTTACATCCCAGAAGGAAAACGATGTTTCACAAAGAGGTTATTTTGACGATTTTAAAACTCCGTATAATTTTTATCAACCTGCATCTCTCAAAAATCGTGTGTTGATATCTTATTTGTCAGTTGTTGATATCCAGCACAACAATCGTGAAATTGGGAACAAGCCTTTGGAAGTTTAATCTGCTGCGACATGTAAACAACATAGGTTCAGGATACAGGAACTCTGTGTCCACCATTGGAAAATTCTCAATAGAGAAATTGAAATTATCACCCTTACCACACCGTTTGATAAAAAGTGGTCCAAAGGGTTCAGACTAGCTTATCCGCGAATTAATTTTGACTTGGTTGCGTTCCGATATTCAGACTTCCAACCTACATTGTATATAGGTAGGAATATACATTCTTATATACATTTGTATTTATATTTTGCCCCATTTTATTGACTCTAAGTAAAAATAACTTTATATTAACACGTTAAAAATACAATTTAGGGAGAATTATGTACGTTTGCTAACATTAATTTGTTTCATTTCCAGTTTCCTTCTCCGTGGTGCTTCAGTGATCACTGTTCTCTGAATAAAGCACATGGTGAGTCTACGAGACTGTAGCGGAAACAACATCTCTTGTGGTCCAAAGTTGCTAAATAACGGCATGAAAATAAAAAAATGACATATTAGCATTTCATATTCATGATCCAAAATCAAAAAAGTTGAAATTCGCATAAAACCCGACTGGCTTTGTCCCGAGAAATTTCTCCCTGTCCTTCTATTGCTAAATAACGTAATTAAGCGTAACTAGCACTGTATGGGACCCACGTCACAAGGAAACAATTTCATCAGTCACCATGGAAGGAGGAGCCGCGATCGAGAACAGCCAAAGTATGCAACGTCAGATTGTAAATGGATGCATATGAATATATTTCATTTTCTGAAATTGGATGATTCTAACAATAACAGTATGTAGACGCTATTCAGCCGTATGAAATTTTCCAGAATTTCAGAAGGTGAGCTCAATTTGAAATTGAACAATGACTGGTAACATTTAATACAGTTTCTGAGGATTGATGAGTAATTCGTCGAACAAACAAGTTCTCGGGAAAATTAAACAGAATAATTCTCAATACTGTGACATAAAAATGATTTTGCTTTATTTCATATGCAAAATCAATTAGCAATCATTTACTCTACAGCGAGAACCTTTACTCTATATCATGTCGTTAAAAAGCGATACTTCGCACTACAGTTTTCATATTTCAAAGTTACTGGAATAAATGGTAATAACTGGTACTGTTACGGTCTAAAAATTGAAATAAAACAAACAAACAACAACAACAAAAAAAACAAAACAAAGAAAAACGAGCATAAAACAAAAAAAAAGTACCAATGAAGGATATTTACAAAATGATTCAACGTTTGTGTCAGCTATTTTTTTAAATTAATGATAAGATGCATATTTTTATATCATAACGACAGATTGACGACATGCAAACAGACTACAAATTACCGACAATTACACATCGGATTTTATTGACAGTTATCGTGTATGAGGTGCTAGATCATATCACGACCTTAAATGAAACATTTCCATGATTATGGTTATCTCGAAAATATGGATGACTGATAAGATTCCATTTTTCCTCGATAGACATGTGATATAGACAAATTATTATCTAGCATCACTGATATTGAGGAAAGGTATGAAGACCAATTTGAATAAAAATATCAATCAAGTAATTGAGTAAGTCTGATCAGGTGCTTCATTGATATATTTCTTAAATTTGTGATACTTCAACGGACAGTTCTCCCTCTGTGATTTTCTTAAATTGGTTTGAACAATTATTACATGTTAACGTTTAAAATTTTCTGGATAGCACGAAGCATAAAATAACAAAACCATCTCCTACCATATTTATAACTAATGCAACTATCCAGGACAACTTCTGTCACAAACACAACATACTTTTTCAAAGTATTTCAAGTTTTATCAATGGTAGATGAAAATGTACATGTTGCTGTTCTTTATCGTTATATCTTATTGTGCCGGTGTATTAGTTCTCAGTTCATATCCATTATTTGATACATTATGGTCAGTTTGCTAAATTTTATAAGGTTCTGACACATTTATTGGCAAGGAGGAGAAAATGAGACCAACTACAAACCCTCAGTAGTAACTTGCCAAATATCAGTTTTATTTCATCGAGGATCTTTCCCACCATCATGACAGCAATAAAATTATCTTGATTTCATTGGTTGTAGTCCATGAATAAGATTGACAGAATTATTCTATTGCGTCCTAACCCAAGGAAAATGGTATTTTACACATAAACCTCAAGGCACCAATTCAGCATGCCAGATATAAGTCGCTCAAAGGCGGCGTGTAGCGTTTTGACGCCGGCGGCCATGTTGTCGTCTGCAACGTCACGCTGCCTAATGTGTATTCGTTATACATGTATAAATAACGTACATGATGCATGTTGTTGTTACGGGCATTAGAATGTAGTAATCGACGTAATCTCTGTGTACCTGTTCGATGAAATGAATATCAACAACCGGAACCACAGCAAACTGCAGCACACACACACACACACACACACACACACACACACACAAACAGTATACATTACACAAGTGTGATCTCTTACTGGGGAAGTATGTATTCATTGTGTTTTTTTTTTTTAGATAACCTATATTACAGTGTAACATGACGCTTTCAATGTGCGTTTACATTTTCCATGAATTATGTATAATCGTTAATAAAGCTGAAATATGGGGAGATTTTGAAGCTAATGAGTTCTGGTGTAGTGAATCTGTTTTACATACGTTCAATATACGTTACCTTTCTCATAATACAAAATGATGTTATCTAAACATAGTTAAAAACAATTAGTTGAACGAGTGTTGAAACCGAATTTGATTGTCACAATTTACAAAATGTAATACCCGACATTACTTTGCTGTCTGATTCCGTTAGTACTCTTAAAGTGGCGTATTTTGAAATGAATGGTTTGAAACACCGCTTTTAAGTTTTTTTCTTGATGTATATATAGAATACAATAGCTGGATTTCAACACGTCTTCAAAACGAAGCAAAGTGTGATTTTCCTGGCAAGACTGGGTTGTCACGTGAACAAAGCTCCCAAGATACTGTTCTCTTTGACCCTATAATCCTAATCGCCGTTAAAAAGTCGAACGGGCTAAGTCCGTTACGGTCTGCTAAATTTCGATACACTCTTGAGGTTTCTGTGTAGTTTGTAAAGCTTTGTTTTAGTCTGTGGTATTTATGAATTTATTTCAGTTCTTTTCTGTGCATGATGTTAATCTATATGCGTGGTTCCAAAAGGCTTTTTTAATCCGTTTATTAAATTTTTAATTAGCGTAAATTGCATCCGGTCGATATAAGGTATGATCTAGAGACACTAAGTATGGGTGTCATTCACATTAGTTTATGAAGACGTGTTTGATATAACTTCGAAAAATTGATGATATCACGACATTATCTGTTCTCCTAATACTGAGAACAATATGTTTTTGTATTTGTGTACATCGGAAAAAATCAAATATTTCCATAATACCAAACCCTGTAACCCATGACCCCCACAGACACATATGCACGCAGCATCATCACCCACACCCAAAGCACCATCACCCACCCACCCACACACACACACACACACACACACACACACATTGTTAGAATAGTAATATGGACATAATTTGATTTTGGTTCTAGAATGATTTTGTGTTTTACTTCAATAATGCAAATATTGATTTTTGAATTTCTATTTGATTATTCCTTGGTTATTGTGTTAATGTTGTTGAATTTTGATGAGTACATATATGTAGGTTCAATAAAGGAAAGAAATTTGTCATTCTTAGTGTAATAAATATTCAAAAAGGCAAACTGTTATTTTGTTGTCAAACGTAGTTTTTCACTCGTTTCTCTGGCTGGGGAACTAGCTCATTGGAACACATATTTTCCTTTTTGATACGTTTTATTCTTACAAACACGAATTTAAGGAAATTTTCATTGCAGCAGTTGCACTCCCGATAACTTTGAATAAGATATATTAAATTAAAACATGTCTAGTTTTTTTTACATCAGTTAATGCAAGAACTTGACCTATATAACTCTAGCTCTTGACCTATATAACTCTAGCTCTTGACCTATATAACTCTAGCCCTGACCTATATAACTCTAGCTCTTGACCTATATAACTCTAGCTCTTGACCTATATAACTCTAGCCCTGACCTATGTAACTCTAGCCCTTGACCTATATAACTCTAGCCCTTGACCTATATAACTCTAGCCTTGACCTATATAACTCTAGCCCTTGACATATATAACTCTAGCCCTATAGCTATCATTTCACGTCACACTGACGAATACACGGCAACGGAAGGAGTCGCTGAAACAGAAAACCTTTAACTAACTAGCTAGCTATCGTTTGGTTCTACTTATACTTGACTGGCACTGGAAGAAGTTGTGTCATTGTTCAATGTTTAGACAAAACGCAATGCTTCTCCACAATCAACCGCAATGTAATGAAAGTTCTCGTGAAAATACGCACAGATCTTGAATATATTCGGGAAGATAATCCTTTGATCTGAAAACGTGAACGCGTGTAGAGGGTCTGTAGTTTTGTTGCATCTTTCTTCCAACTTGTCCGAGCTCTGTTTACTACATCACATGTCACTGGAACTTCCTACTTTGGTAAGGCTTCATCTTGGCGAGGTGGTTTGCCATGTATCGAAATTAGGTCAGTCTGACCTTTGATCTACATCAAAGAAAAAGATTGTCGGGCTCTATCTCCTACCTACTAGTCATTGGGATTCCTGGGGCATGGGTTCACTAGCTGTACATTCTTGGCATATAATTTCACATCAGGTGAGGGACTGTAATTGGCAGCCTTTTCTCCTTCCTTGACAAACTCTTCTTTATAGTGTTAAATCAGAGACTTCGATCTAGATCTAAGTCTGAGGTCAACTCCACTGACTGAACAACAAAGAACACATTGTACATAATGATGATTTTAATGGTATAATACATAAAACATTTGCTAGTACTCATTCTTTAAATAACTGATGACTACTGTGACATATAGGCACTGACATGCATACTCATAGACAAACCATGACAATTGTCTGTCTTGAACAATTTTACTCTGACATAACTAACATCAAAATACTTATGACATCAGTATCACAAGATTTTATATATATGCCACAACATATTCTACAGCATAGTGTACGTACTTGCATTACAAAAAAAGTCACATATATATTATACACAATGTAGAAAAGTTGTTGAATAAATTGATTACTGTATCATCGTTTTTAAAGAATATCACATAAACATCTCATGAACTGTGGTATATGAAATATTCTTATCAAATTTTATTACTGAAAAACATACATTAACCAAATGACATCTGAAGTTAAAATATGCCGAGTTGTAAAAATACACTTTGCTAAAGCAAAGCTGCTGTTTCAAAATATCAGAGATGCCATCATTATGCATTCAAATAGATTATTGTGCAAGGTATTCATACAGTATCTATGCTTAGAGAAATTTTAATATTATAATCACAATGAAAAAAAATCTTATTTATACCATCCCATTAAAATATTCATTACCTGTAAAACTACTAAATGTTTTGTTGAAACATTAAAGAGATTTCAGCTAATTATTTAATATTACATAATACAACAAATTAACAATTGTATGAGATAAACATACAATAAAGTAACCAATTCTAATGTGTTTTAATTCTGCGAAGACAACACTTCAATACAGCACACACACAAAAGGTGGGGCCCCACCATTCAAACAGTGTGGTAACTGCTTAGAAGGGACAAGCCTATTTAAGAAACATGTAGCAAGATGCTATATTGGAAAACTTCTCATCAACCACTCTTCTGACCTGAGTAAAAGGATATGTAAATCAATCATTTTCTTTATTTATTGTTGGCTATTTTGAGACCAATTAAAATATTTTGAAAAAAAAATCCAGATCTTGAAATTCATGGTGGGTGGCATCAGCAAGAAAATTTTAACAAGTTCCTTTAACGGTCTTAGTTATGATCATATCAGAAATGGCAGATGATGAGAACCCTTACAATATAAGCAATCCCCTGTCGGAGTCTGTGTACACATAATGAACACTGGTGGCAACTAATTGCACACAAGAGGATATGGTGTTTATCTCACAGAAATAATATTATGTTTACTTGTCTCAGAAGTTACAGTTATTGAAACCGAACTTTCAGTACAAAAGTATGACATATCTCAAAAGAAAAATTATGAGGTGCGAACATCGCTCATGGATAATTAATTCTTATAGTTTTATATTTGTCCTATAAAATTTCATTTTCTTCTTCCTGACTCTGACTATGATGTAAATGTAAATACTACATCTAGGGCATGCGTTAAATAATGAAACTTATGATTAATACCTTCTACAGGCAGTACAGTATTTGATATTAAACATGTCAATTGCCAGAATTAGAAAACAAAATTCATCTTCACATATGTAAACATACGAAAATATGTAAAAATTAATATCCCTATTTTTGTGGCTTACAGATATTGATTTCTTCTGAGAGGACAAAAGCATTAATAACTAGGCTATGAACTGGATATATGTTGAACATACAAGGGAGAAAATCTTATACACAAGGGAGATAACTAATAAGCAAGAACTAATGAATGACATTTCTTTTTTACTGAAAAGCAGTTACTTGATCCTACTTTTAAATAAAGAGTGAGCATTCACAAAATATGTATAGATCATTCATCAAAACAACACAAGACAATTTCTCAGAAAAGGTATTTTGAACAGAGAAATTGCTTTGACGATGAAAGTGATGAAATTATTTTTCATCTGAAATATTACAGATACACTATCTATTCCTTCAATACAACACATGCTCACAATAAATTGTTAGAAATGTTACATTGTCAGTTTTTCAAAACTTAAAATCAGCCTTATGTACACAAAGATATAATTTTACAACTGATACCTTGGTGTGAATATTGGCTATCATTAATGATAATGAAAATGAATAAAACAAACAAAACCACTCAACATAACACGTACACAACTCAGTTATTCCCTGAAAGAGAAACAGATTAACAGCTCCAGACATCAATTTTCATTAATTGGGAATAGATATAGATTTTGATATTTGCTATCAACAATCCCGTCAACAACTTTAGGGGATAACACCTAGCACCATACAACCTGGAATAACAAACCAGCAATCGTAACAACATTGGGGTAGCATTGTTCTGAAAGACTTGTCAGAGAATCCTTAATACCTTAAGCACAAAACATTTTGCAGGACAGGAATTTGATGACAGATAATTTGCAAAATAAAATAACCATCTTTTGATAATTAATCATCCTTATTAAAGATTTATACATCTTCTTCTTTCAGATTCACTTACAGATTTGTAAAATGAAGTTTTTGAAATGATAAAGTAAGAAACAAAACAGCAGCATCCTATCCATTCAACTAAATAAAACTTATATAAGTTTTTGGCTGTCAAATAATCATGAATCAGTGTTAAATTGTTCCAAGAAAATCTATCAAAATTATGTGTGAAGATTGTAAAAGTTTTACCTGCACTAAACACCTATCAAACAAAATGCTGTAAGCTATGATAAGAAATTACTCCAACAATAAGTTATAAATTCGATGTGTTTTGACAATGCTAAACCCTTTTTTTAACAATCATTTATAACAATCTCAACATTCAACCTTGATTTATAATGTTTTATCATACATGCTGCACCATTTAACAAAACTCTGTAACCTCTTGACAAAAAGCAACGCTTAAAATGTTATCAGGAATCTGTAAGATCTGTTTTTTGCATCTAAACTAGAAAATATGGTATATACTACTAAGGAAGAAAAGACTTTGGGCTTTTAACAGCTCAGTAAAAGACCCAAACCAAAAAAAAATGTACTCCTCAACAGAAACAAAACTTGATGTATGTAATTTTAGCGAATATTCTCACATATCTAGACATTCACCTGTTTCCTCATAAAAAAGTTGTACAATGCATTGTACAGTTTTTTGCTCTAACCATTTTCTCTACTTAGTCATTCCCAAAACATTTTATTTCAACTACTATTTTTCTCTTTCCCCATTATAACCATTTTGTGGAAGCAAAGGCAGATATTGTTCTCAAAAAGAAACTAAAAATATATAAAATGATTTAACATGTATACGCTTTCCTGAAAAATAAACAGTGTATCAGCTGAATCATAGAAATTTGTTCTTCCTTAGAACTGATAAATCCAATAAGTATATGGGAATCAACTGACATCACTGAATATATACTTACCAGGAAGTGTTCTATGTTGATAGAGTAACTTAGTGGTACTAATAATATACAATATGCACTTTAACACCAGATCAAATTCTCCTTAAATATCCAACAACACTTCAGTATATGTTGAGTCTTAATATACTCAAATCATCATCAAAACTTAACAGACATGTTGAAATTACTGAAAGCCTAATTTCCTTAATGAGATTCACTTATATTTTTCAATTACATTGTCAGTATACATTTTCATCACTGATCTGTATACATTTTCATCACTGATCTGTATACATTTTCATCACTGATCTGTATACATTTTCATCACTGATCTGCCTCACTTTAAGTTCAAATAAGAAATCAGCTTCACTAACATGTTTAACAACTGATCAGACTCATCCTGCTCTTTCATTTCTAAAATTTTTTATGATGAAAATTTTCAAGCAATTTGTGTTCACGAGAAAAGTTCCTTTTCAAAATATTTCCTACAGTGTGGTGCTGTAATAAGTGGTTAGGTGGATAACTTATGAAAAGCTTTAATAATATTTTCTAGCAAAGGAAAAGAAATAAATTGATAAGATTTTTTGTAAAATATATAAAACTGCTGACAACCTCATACAAAATATTATGAGAACAATAAAATCTATGATGACGTACACAGATAAAACTGTCGCAGCTTAATCTCTTACAAATCCTTGATCATTTGGGACAGAAATTCTTTAATGTTGAAAGTAATTTGATGAAAATAGGCGTATGACACTGAAAAACTAAACATGATATGTCACTGATAACTAGTACATGTTCTTTTAGTGTATAACAATGATAAATGTTAAACTAGAGGGGAACTTATGTGTCACCATAAGGATGCGTCACTATTGCTCTTGGTTGTAAAAGCTGAGTACTGTGGGCTTTGTCGGTTGGAACTGTTGGCCTCACTCTTGCCTGGCTGGCTGGGTCCACCAAAGGAAGAGTAGCTGAATCCTTTGGAGGAGTAGTTCCAGGACCTACTATTACTTGTGGAATCTGCAATAAGATTAATTTACTACAAATTGCTTCTGTTATGATACAACACACCAAAAATTGGCATACAAGTGATTTTTGATAACCAACTAGAGGTAAGGATAAATTCCTGATGAGAAATTACAAGTTCAATTATAGCATAAAGCTAGAATAAGATTTGGTTTGATGTTTAATTTGCCTGCAAGTGTTCAGGTCATACGAAGACCATGCAAGTCAAAAGTATGATAAAATGGATAGGAATAGCTTGAGGTCAGGAATGTTACAAAGGAGCAACAGTGAATTTTGGTTTTATCAATTTTATCAATATCTCTAAAGCTTAAGATTCTACAAGGATCTGTGTACAGCTTATGATAATAGGTATTGGAATTCATGCTAATGATATACATTTCATAAAAGTTAACAAAAAAGTATACTTTCACTTTTCTATTCACTCAGTAATCTACTGCTTACATTATGTACTGTATTGGTATGTTTATAATCAATCTGATGACAGACTGATAGTGTAAATAACATTCTTACAAACCTGTTTGATTAAGTCCAGGTCCCAGGGCACCTACTTGTGATGAACCAAACTCATCCTTTGCTGCAAAATGAAGTCAAGGAGACTATACACCTTCATCAAGTCTTATAAGACAGGCGAGTCTTCACTGACATTCAAGGAGACTATATACTTTCATCAAGTCTTATAAGACAGGTGAGTCTTAACTAACATTCAAGAATAGCAACAGGTAGTGATTCACTGAAGAAATAACTGGAGAATGCAAAATATTGCAAATATATTTACAATTCCAAATATCAACAATAGCAGCATATTTAGAGTTTACTCATTTGAAAAATTACAGGAAAGAATATAAAAAAAAATCAAAATGTTCACAGGACAAGGACTTTAAGCTACAGAAAACAATTGAAGAAGACAATTACATGTACTTCCAGGGTTCTTCACTTAATTGATGATGTTTACAAAGTGTGAAAAGATTTTGCTAAAACATGAAAGTCTAAAAAGAACAAAAAGCCTATAGCTACATATCTACCTTTGACCCCTCCATATCTGGAATAGTATGTCTTGTTTGCCTTGAGGTTAAGTCCATCTGTGTTTCCATTAGACATACGTCCAGCTCCTGCCCCACCCAGTGACACATTCTTTTTTATACTCCATACATTTTCCATGTCCAGTTCCCTATCTACAAAACCAACAAAACCACTTTGTTACAGTTTAAAAATTTATGAAGAAAACTCCCAGGAACAACAAGTCTACTGTTTGGGATTTAACATACCAGAGCAGTCATTAGAGACTTTCAATGGTCATTTAGAGTGAAAAAAAATATGAAACAATGTTTAGTATACATGCCCACTTTTCTTTTCATTAAAAAAAAGGGTACATCTTTTCACATATAAACAACACCCATAACAGGGCTAATCATTTCAATTGTTTACCAATGAATTAAGACCTATTAAGGGTACGTGTAAAAAATACATTTGTAGCAGCTGTGTGTACTGTATATACTGTATGATTAAGTTTCATCTTTCATTAATTCAGATACTTTGCCTGATATTACTTTGTCCTCAGAAGCTGAACGTTTTGTTAATTAAAATTGAGATTTTTTTCCTGTACAAATAGTTCGGCTTACAATGTTCCCAAAACAGTAATACATGTTTATTTTTGTGATGTTCAAAAACATCAATTAAGGTCCTGATATGGACTGCATTTGATCACACCTGGTGCTTACCTAATTAAACCAAACATTTGATTCATTATGCATAATGGTTCTTGACTTGTAAATGATGTTTAACTCACATTTAAAATCAATAGGAAAATCAAGCTGTGCAGACAATATAAATTATAGCTACATACAATGAAATAGAATTGTATATACTGAACAAGAGCAATAGAGTGAATCCTGATTGATAAAATTGTTATTTTCTGAAATATATGTTATAATCCTATACTCAGGCGACAGGAAAGAGTTCCTTTTGAACCCCCCACCCAAAATGACTACCAGTAGGCTATAATAAGTATCTAAAAGGGTTTATTTTAAGGAGTACCAAGAAAAATTGGGGCATGGTCTTAAAATCAACCCTTTCAGACACTTGTATTATATTTACCAGGAATAATTACCCATTGGTAGCCACTTTGGGTGGGGGGTTCAAAAGGAACTCTTACCAAGTGGCATCAAGTACAGGTATTATTTACTTCTCCTGAAGAGCTATAAAGCATAAAAAGGACTTGACAATTAGTCTTCTTGTATTTTTTTAAAATCATGTATATACAGATCTATATCATTATTTTTACTTCCTTTTCTCTCTCTCTCTCTCTCTCTCTCTCTCTCTCTCTCTCTCTCTCTATCTATCTAAACTTTGGTTGATAACTTTCAGCTTTACAGGTATTAAATGTCAGCATAAAGTTTCATTAACAGATATGACAACAAAGTATACAAATATAGCATATGTAGACCTATTCAAATGTACTTTAATATAGATATCAGTAAGGAGGGCATCAATAATTTCAGCTCTACTGAATTGCAAAAGAGGGAAATCCTTGACACCAAAACGAGTCATAGCCAACAATAGGGAAATGAAAAGCAACAATCAAATGATAATTTATTTAAGTATGTTCCAATAGCTATGTGTTATTGATTTTTGTTACAAAAATCATTATAAATCTCTTTTCAAAGACATCAATGAATTCTATGATGTTATTAGCAAAGGAATTATGCTTTTAATCAAATACTTCCAGTATATATCCTGGTACAATTTGATAAAGCTTAACTGCATACCAGTATATCGTCGTAGTTTATGGGTCCAATATATAGACAAGATAAAATGGACAGTTTTATAGATTTCTCAAACACTTCATTTACCAGACAGAAAAAAAATTTCTCTTTATTTTAAACCAAGGTAAACATAATTACTACAGACATTTAATACTCTTATAATGTCACCACTCATGAATGATATACATGTATATTGAACAATGATTCTTTAATTTGGTGAAGGGGTTTGGTGACCTTTCACCTTTGATATTTCAATAGTCCTTTTTGATGTTATTACATTCTGTCGTTGGCAAAGTGCCTTCTATATCATAAATTATTATGTCCTTAGCAAAGCTTCTACAGTTGACTATAATCAATACTCATTTGTTAATAAGTATGTTGCATCATTCACAGTTTATTATAATACATGGAACAGCACTTCCTGTCACTTCAATAAAGCACTTTGTCAACAATTCTACATACCTGCCCTTGGAGACTGCTCATTTTTCCGAGGTGAAAAGATCCAGTCATCTTGGTCGTCCCGCTGGGGACCTTTGTACAGGAACTTCTTTGTGTTACCTGTAGTAGATTACAGAAAACAGTTCAGGCACACATCAGATGTACAACTTTATTGTAACATGATCAACTCTTGATGTAAAGATTTTCTGCAAAGATATTAAAATCTTTGTCATTTTCTAATACACAAATCAAAAAGACAACTTGGAATTATAAAGTTTTGTAATAATCCAGTTTTTTTCCACCACAAATTCCTGTATAAACACAAACAAGTGTAGCATTAATCTGGCTACGAATACAAGGAGTTGGACTGCTCCCTGAACAATGTGCTCACTTTATGGTGAAAATAGATATAGACTTAGATTGAGGGAACCAATTACAATATCTAGAATCTTTTATTACCAGGGTGACCATTTATCAGCTTCCTCACACTAAATATAAGTTTATTTTCTAAATTGTTAACAAGACAGCTCAAACACCTTGCATTTGACCTTTAGTAAGAGAAGCAATTTCCAAACTGAACCAGTTATGGTTTTATAGTGTCCTCTGAGATAATCGGAATTAAGTCTTTAAAATTGATATTGCTCCTCCAGTACTTGAAATTCAATTTTAAAAGGTTATAAGGTTATATGGCTTGTTTTCAGTATAATGTGATCAGGTCACCATACAGAGTCTAATTTAATCACATCAATATAATGGTGTTGACAATTTCATGTGATGGCCCTTGGTGATAGAAGGCTCCAATCACCAGGAGATAAATTAGTCTTCAGTTAACATTAACAATCCAGAATGCTCATTTGCAAAATCCATACCGATATATTTTGATTTAGATCAATTTAACTTATTTCTTTAAAATGTGATATAATATATATATAAATCACAATACAATTTATTCTTGCCTGTAAACATGTGTTATAGGACCAATTAGGGAGATAATGATGAAACGATGTCACATACTAAATATATAGATGACATTGAAAATGACATGATGAATGTATATAACATCATTACCCGATTAACTATCAATTACTGAGTACATTCATCTGTTGGGGAAAATGACATGAAAAATATATTACATTGCTACCTAATAACTATCAACTACATATACATATTACAGAATACATACTGTAATACCTCTGACAGGGAAGGAACTTATTTTCCTGACTCCAACATCTCCCATTCCACCATACCTCCTTCATTTTCTTATATCTTTTCTTTAAATACCTAATCATTATGTAATCCACTATTCCAGATCAATGACAAAAGTATTAGATTTATCAAGTACAGAATATATATTTTTTCTGTGAAATACTGCGTGAGAGCATATATTGAAAATGCCATGCGTATGAAGTAAATGAATTTTCTTACCAGTATAACATTATGTATATAACATTACTGTCACATAAGTGCCACAGTACATTCCTTCTTTACTTTAAGTTATCTTTATACACAATTTACCTTGTTCACTAGGTTCTTCCAATGGTAACTTCATAATGCTATCCGTATGAAGTAAATTTAGTGCCAAACATTGGTTACAACACCCTGATCCTACCAGACACCGAGACTAATGTTAACTATCAATATGGCCGTTCATATTTCCATACCGGATTAATGCCCACTGTTGTGATCTATAGAAAGTAACGGTGTTTAGGATTGATATAATAACTACTGCTACCCACAATAGTAACAAAACAAACAACATGCCATGTGTATAACTGTCCACTAATCCTCTGGTCACCAAATCACTATGTCCCTCGGTCAGTTGCCAATTTCTGGTTTTTAAACTTTGATATAATTTAAAACATTGACACATGAAATTTATAAATAAACATATAAAAATAAATTACAATAACTTTCCAGCAGTCCCTGCTTTGACTCAATCCAATGACTTATTGTTTGTCACTAAAGACAAGAAAATTTTGAAAAAGAAATATGATTAAAGCAGCCAAAGAACCTAGTACATGTATTAAAAGTGTGATATGTTGAAAGATTTTTAAAAAGTAAGAAGTGTACAGGGTAATTATTCCTGGACTTCTGGTTGATTCTCAAGATTCAACAAATTCATGTTTTCCTGTTAAGAAAAAAAGGACCAATGAATTCAATCATATATTTTGTGATGATTTGTTTTTTATAACCCTATATTTTATATATACCAGCTTATATAACATTCCTTTGTTATCAACCTATACCACGGTGTCTACCATTACATTGTACCTTGAAGGAGCTCTGCTGTGCTGCAGTAGTTGAACAATAATCCATAACTACCATCCATCATGCTACCTGTGCCACTCATGCCACCTATGCCACTCATGCTACCTGTGCCACTCATGCCACCTGTGATAACCATCCCTGTCTAAACCACCTTGAGCAACCCCTCCCCGACCCCCACACACTCTATGTTGCCCCAATTTTCCTGATTTGAGACATTTCCATATCAGGCCATCTGATGTTCAGCTATCCACCCTCCACACCTTTTATTTATGTACAGTACCAATAAATATATATATATATATATATACCAACATATTCATTATAAGTTACTATTTAGTAAAGAACCAGTAAGGTTAACAAGTGAAATAATACTGTTCCAGGAGTTTTTACAGACATAGACAGAGAATAATTGTTTTTTTTTTTTTTTATTTTGTACCAAATTTGGTTTTTGTGCAGTACTCCAAATGGAATCTGAGTCATGCATATATATCACTATTTAATGAACATTTGTTTATCTTGGTATGGTCTATTGTAGTGTTGAACAACTTAAATATTTAAGAATGTCTGTAGTTCTGTATACAATGATTAAAACATCAAAGGCCATCTCTATTGATGGGATAACGCCGAATGGAAGACAGGGAAACTTGAGTGTACCAATCATCATAATAATGGCGAGATCTCCATAATCCCAGTAACAAGCCAGACCCACGTCATACAAGCCTTGTAAGCATACTAGTCAGAAACCAGTATAGTTCTCAGATATAAATTTTCAAAATAACTATTTTTCAGTTACATACACTCTTATTTCAAGACCCTAAACAAATTTTTATAATTAAATTTCTAATCAAACTGTCACACTACAAACATCCCAGTGTAGATACATTTTGTTTTAATGTGCATTTATACAGATAAGTATTAAGTAAGGAAAGAAAACTTCAAAACACAATTTTCTACAAAATGCTCAACTTATAATTCTATCAATGATTTCTGATAATTTTGAATCAAATTTAAGTTTTGAAGTAGGTCAAAAGGTCATGTCATAAAGCTGATCATTCCACCAGACTTCGAACATGTAGACTTTTTTTCACATTGGAATGCCCTAATTTACAAGTACACCATTCAAACCCCTTCTTATTTCACTTCCATCCTGTTTTATCTACCTGGTGTTTAAAATTGAATATCTGTAATATATTGTACCAACAATAAGACTATTCTGCAATAATAATGACTCTTTTGCTTAATGACTGTTTGTTTCATGGAAATTTTAAGCTTGCGCATGAAATGTTGATTAAATATGCCTGACATTGATACATGATAGGTAGCACTTGCCTGTCCTACTGCAATCAGTATCAATTATTTATACTACATCAAGAACTCACTCACACATACTAAGTATACCAACTGAAATAGTAACAATGCTGATTCCATTGGGACACCTAGAGGACATTAACGTAGCACTCTAACAGCATAATGGAAGGTAAGACCCTCCATTTAGATCAGAAAACCAGGAATATTTTCCACTGTGGGATGCTTGTGTTGGATTCAGACCAAATTACCAATTGTGCTTCATAATAGAAAGAGTTGTTTTGTTTCAATCCAAATCAGTCTATTATTCTTTACAAGCAATATTAAAAATGTAATGGTTGTTTCTTTTTTTGTCTTTGAACAAAATGGTGGTAATTTTTTTGAAATTCTAAACATCATTTATCATTGTCAGGGTAGGTTTTTTTTTTATCAAACTTCAAAGTTATTTTCAGACCTGAGTTAAGTCAAATTCTTACCCAAGTATAACCAGTAAATATCAATAGCTGAGCAAACTAATTTAAGTCTGGTCACTGGCTATAGGTACAGCATTCACTTAGTCTATCCTGTATTGTAACAATCAATAAGAACTGCAGGTAACATGGTAAATGATGTAATGTGATATACATATATATACATACACACACCTTTCCTTTCTTCAAAGAGTTTGTAACCCCTTCTAATCCCTTAGCCCATCTATAAATATATACACATACCACCAGATCCTTTATATTCACGAAGGATGAGCTGAAATTAAGACACCAAACCACGATATATGTAATATCATAAAGAGGGTTACTCTATTACAAGGATAATGTAGTAGAATTCATGCTTTGGTATCAAATTCAATGCCCATGACCCAGACCATCCCGTTATTTATATTTCAGCTGATCTTTTGTGTATGTACTGTGAGCCGATGTCATAACATTGAGCCAGTAGATATGTTGCCACAGTCTGAATTGATGAATCTATATAAATGTTAATTTATTAAAAATAGGACAATAATCACAATATACTCAAGCATCACCATTTAAGTAGGTTTTTTTTATTTACTTGGTCCACAAGTTTCAACAGGATCGTTCTGTTTTTCATTTATTTTATCTATAATCACCCTGCATACCATTTGGTATCCATACTCAAAGTGAAACAACCCACTGATCGAACCCACAAACCTACCATTGACACTCCATCCCCTTTAACTTTACATAAATTTATACAATTTTACATGTTTCATCCAAAATAGCTATATAAAGCATGCTCATTTCTATCATTCTGATAGGAGGAAGAGTGTTTATAAAGTATATTGAATATTTATGTTAAATTGTAGTAATTTCCCTTATAAAGCATATTTGACAAGTCATTGAAAATCATATCAGTATCATATTGACCTTTGAACTCTTAACACAATGTATAATTTGTTGAAAACTCTCTAACCAAGTACAAACTCTATATATATGTAGTGTGTATAAGGTATCTCAGTGATTAAAAGGAGAAAGTCTGACATACCTGGATTATCATTGTTGTGTTTTTTCCTGTCAATAGGCATGATG